GGGCTAAGCCATGCGTGATTTGATAAGTCAATAATGTTGCATGCGTGAGGTTTTATTTCAAATTTTTTTATTAAATAATAATAATAATAATAATATTATTATTATTATTTAAATCTCTTCAAGCAATTTTCGTTGAACGCGTCATCGCGATGAAATGAACGTCCTCCGCATGTGAAATCAACGTTCAGGCCACGCGGGCTTGATCCATTTCGTCATCCGGGGTTGTTGTACCACTTTTTCTGCGATCGAGTCAAAAATGCATCAAATTTAATTTTTGTCGATTTTTTTATCTCGATTGACCGTTTTTTTTTTGAAATTGATCATGGACCAATTAAATTGATTTGGATTTATTTGAAATTAAATCTGGACATGTTGAATATGAAATTGAGGTATTTGATTAGTCATGAAGCTCAATTTGACGATTTTTGTCAAAGTGAATGAATTTGGTCAAATTAGACCCAATGGATGGTCAAGTATTGATTTTAGGAGTGTTTGAGATGATTTTGAAGAATTTGAGATTTTTTTTTGTGCCCTGAGTCACATTTTAGTAATTTTGGTTAACTTTGGTCGAAGTGGTCAAAATGTTGATTTAAAGGCTCGAGGTGGTTCAGGAAGAATTTTGGAGTCAAACGACAGTGTTTGGGGTCATTTTTGTTCAATGTGGAAGGTTTTATGATCCCCGAAGTATTTTTTAAGTTTTCGTTATTTTGGTGTCGAAGTGTCAAAAAGTTATCCGGAAGTATGACAATATTACAGTCAAAATTCTCAGGAAGATATAATGAATGATTTGAAAGACATAATGAATGATTTGGTGTGATTTTTAGGATTTATTGGTGACTCTAGGAGATTTTGGAAAGATTTGATATCTCTAGGGTCCAGGGGCATTTTGGTAATTTTTGGGAAAATTGGGTATTTTTGCAATTTTTTTGGTATCAAATGGTTTGAAGTGTGTTGTGTGTTTCAATCGCAATTTTGGGAAATTTTGAAAAATTAGAACATTCAAGTGGGGTATTTTAGGAGAAACTAGATCCAAATAATTTTGATCAGCCTCATGGGTGTAATGACTGCAACATTGTGATATGAAAATGCAATGTTTATGATGATCATGGGGATTATGAATGATGATGCAATGTATTGGATTCCAAAAAAGGTGTAGAGTAGCGCAAAACTTTCGTGTGGTCCAAATGTCCTATAGGAATTCTCATCAGGGTTCCCTTATGTAATCTCTAATCTTTGCTAATCTTTGTATTAAAGATTTACATATATAACCAACATAGAGAACAAAGACTTGGTTGAAATGTCTAAGAAGAAGGTGGGTTCCATTTCTAAGAAGCTAAGATAGTCATTAGGAAAGTCCTAAGGCTAGATCCTAGTCACTAAAGAAAAGACCCAAAACCTTTACCCAAAAGTGAGGTCAACAAATGGACCCCCAATAGGTGTGGTGTGCTAAAGAAGCACACCACGCGTATTGGCGTTGACCGAGGCAATCAACAGACTAATTCAGAAATGTTGAGGTTAACTTTCCCTTAAAGAGTGTATAACTCAGTAAAGGATGAACTACGCTAGTGTCCACCATGGGTAGCTTAGTGAACACCCACTAGTGATATGGAAGATGCTATCCGCTGGGGATGAGCAAGAAGGATATTTATCAAAGGTTGATGTATGGGTGTATTTTTTTTAGAAGCTGTGAGGAAGAAAAGCACAGATATTCCTCTTCAAGCTGAGAGCTAGTCAAAGAGAAATCTCCGTTGAAATCCATGCTCTTGACCTTTATTACTCCAAGCACCATCAAGAGTTCCACATGAAACGTTCTATTCGCACACCCTTCGCTTTGATTAAGAGCCTTATAAACTTGAACCGAGAAATCTTCCCGACCGTTTAGGTATGCCCAAAAGGGCATAAATATTTTTCTCACTCGGGAAGAAAACCTGGAAGGATCAAATCCACAGTGTGGTTGCATCGTTGTTTGGCTTATGTACTCCATCCGACATAGCTATGCCCAAAACTAACGTGGCTACACCAAGCTTTCTATGCACAAGGGTATTACTGCAGGCTTCCTTGCGGCTGTGTGGTTGCTTGCAAGTTCCACACCACAACATGATTTTACACAAAGCATAAGGAAAATAATTTCAGATAAAAAAGAATTGCAAATAATACAAGAATGAAGTTATAAGTCATTCAAAGAGTGGAATAAGTTCAAAACAAATTGTTCTTCCTTAAATGCAAGTAGGGGTGTTATATTGGGTTCGTGGTTGGATTCAGATCTGACTCCAAAATTGACATGGACCGAAATTTCTTGGCCCGAATGCTAAACGGATCAAAATTTTC